TTTGGAGATTGTCCTCAATTTGCATAACACTTGCTGCAGAAGGCTGAGAGGAAGAGCGCCATAATATTAAGATTATATGGGCCAAAACTTAGAGATGGCATACAATAATTTGTATGAGCCAAATTCTGTTTCTCCACTGAAATTGCATTTGTTAGCCAGTGTCTTCTCTGAAAACTTCATTCTTGGATGAAGAACACATCAGCAGTCGATCCCAGCAGCAGCCAATCCTTAACATGTATACAGCGAATACTATAACTAGTTATGAAGATGCCATCTCTTAAGTGCTTGAGTAGTTTTGAGTAGGTTGCCTTCCAGGATAGAATCTGCAACTAGACCACAGGGTGAGTAATGACAGTAGCCAAAGATATTGCTGTTGGACTAGGAGTGGGGATAGCTCAATATTAAGAGTTGGACAATAGGGTTGGGTCGACAGACGATGCCATCGTCCATCGCCGATGGCCGATAGACATCACGATGCTGAGCCGACATCGCGATCCTCCGCCCCCCCCCCGCCGCAGCAGCAACCAGCTCACGAAAAACACACACTTAATCACACTATATAGCCAAATTAAATGCATGCTTTCAATTTCCGCATCTTTACTTATTTTATTATTATTATTATAAGGAAATAATAACAAGGAAGTTGTTAGCGATCACAATACAAATTACAGTGAACTCCAAACGAATTACACGAACTAGTTCGTTTACATTAATAAATGAGGCATACAGAAACAGCAGAAAAAAATCAAAATAATTTTAATTAAATTAGATTAAATAAACTACACCAAATATGCATTTTTCATGGTTTTACCATAACGAACAGAACGTCTGTGCATCTTTTGCGCGGATAACTTGACCGCAAATTCTACACACCACTTCAGACGTATCTCGTGGCTGTCCTGTTTCATTCGGTCTAAAGCTAAAGTATTGCCAGAAAGGTGAATTTGCACTTTTTTTACCAACCAAGTTTATCGACACCTATTCATGCCAGAGTCCCGCGGAAAAAGTGATTGACAGGTGGTAATTTGTGTGTAACTTATCTTTATTTATTTATGGTTTGGTTATGGGTAAAACAAAGACCATGCGGGTCAGGTAGTGGAAATGGCAGGCTACAATTAATTAATTCGTTATGAATTAATTATTTAACAACCATCCCTCCCCTCCCCAAAAACGTTGCATTCTGACACGGATGACCCTTGCTATCCATGCTTTTTTTCGACGCCATTGTTGTCATGAATAATTCCGTGGAGCGTCGAGTGGTCACGTGACAAATTATGAGGCGCGTACAATTTAATTCTTTTTTATTGATACTTCACCGTTTTAGGCGCGTGATGGCGTGCACGCGCAATTGCGCACCTTAAAGGACAAGCCCTGAAATTCTTTGTGCAATATCCCCAAATCCCTTTGGTTGTGCCTTATCGATTCAGAAAAGTTGTCTCTTTTTGTCCCCCCGAGTTGTACGTGGTAAATCACTTGTTCCTTGACGTGGATGCGCGCGGCAGGCCAACAGCCGCGAAGTTGCTAGGTAATAAAGTAAGCTTTGTATTTCTGCTACCAATCAAATAAAAGTATAGACTTGTCCAATCGTCGCTGTATTTAACCATATACGGACATAGGGTTGTACACATGAACAGGAAGGAAAAAGAATAGCGGTAGAAGGAAACCAAGTGAAGTTTTTTTGGAACTACGAAATTTTAAATTAGATGTTCATGTTCCCAAAAAACGGGACATTTGTCAAAAAAGAGAACAATCCTATAAATTTAGAAGACGAGACTGGTAAGTTGTCAATGCCTTATGTTATTCACTTAAAAATATGTCTTTAGTTTCCCATTATGTGATACTTTAGTTATTTAATCAGGGTTGTCAACTTTGGTCAGGTGGCTGGCGTGAGATATTCAATTCGAGACAAGTCTGCACACGAATCCACACGCATTTACATGAATGTAACAGTTTTATTATCTTGTAAATAGTCAGTAGGTTTTACAAACTACGCCAGTGCTTTTGATGTAGCTAATTTTAGGCTTATAATGGAACAATATAGATTTGTAAGATTTGTTGCGTGAGGGTGAGACTCTGAAAGCGCGAGTGTCACGCCAGATGCTTGAGGTTTAGCGACCCTGATTCGCCCCGTCTGCGAGCAAGACCCTTAACCCCGAGCAACAAGTGGCTGCCCTCTCGCTTACAGAGAGCAAGCTGGGGGAGAATTTCCCCACGGGGATCAATAAAGTATCAATTCTTTTTTTATTACTGTATTATATTATTAATACTCTGTGTACGATTTTGATGGCTAATGTTCATAACGGCAGTAGTTTTAGAACAAATTTTTAGATCAAATTCTCTCTGGGCACATGTAAATATTAGCAGTTTAATTAAAGCCTATTGAAAATGTATTGCTAGCTTAATCTCATCAATATGGATAGCAAGTCATAATAATGTAATAATACACAGTTTATAAATGTATGCAAAACATTGAAAAACAGTTTAGCAGCTCTGTTTAGCAGCATAAGTTAAAATAAGAAATAAGAACAACACACAAAAAGAGACAGCCATCCTAATACAGTGTGAGTGTCTGAGTACAATGTGTACAATATGTCAGTCCGAGGTAGTGTGTGCTTAATGACCTGCCCTAAGCATAGTACTGCATAGAAGACAGTCATTCAACGAAGTGGATATTATTTCACAGAAACAGGGTGCGGGATGGGCGCATTTGACTGCCTGTGGGTAAAAGGTTTTGTTCAGTCTCTTTTTTCTTGCGTCTGCCAGAGTGGAGGGGGGGGGGGGGGGAGAAAAGGTAGTGTCCAGGGTGTGACATCTTTGATGACGTTGCTGGCTCCCCGGTGGAGTCTGCCAGTGTCAGCTACAGATCCTCAGTACACACTGCGCAGCAGTAGGTTAGGAGGCTCTCCATGGAAGAGCGGTAAAAACTGGTCAACAGCTGTTAGGGGAGGTGGGCCTGACGCATCTTCCTGAGGAAGTACATTGTTTGTTGTGCCTTCCCCACCTGGTGAGAAATATTTGTTGGACCAGGTGAGATCGGCGGAGATGTGGACCTCTAGGAACTTGAAGCTCTCCACCCTCTCTACCTCTCCTCCATCAATGTAGAGGGCAGAGTCCTCAGCCCGCTTGGCTCTCCTGAAGTCCACTATCATCTCCTTGGTCTTGGATGTATTCAGTTCCAGGTTATTACTGTCACACCATTGCCTCAGCTGCTGGAACTCCTCCCTGTAAGCTGATTCATCGTTGTTGTCAATCAGTCCTATAATGGTGGTGTTGTCAGCAAATTTGACAATGGTGTTTCTGGTATGAATGGGAAATCAGTCAAAAGTGAAAAGGGAATAGAGGAGGGGATTGAGGATGCACCCCTGTGGCGTGGCTGTGTTTGGGATGATTAGAAGAGGTGTGGTCTCCCATCCTGACGTTCTATAATTTAAAGATTTAACTATAATTTAAAATAAAGTAAAACAATTTTTTGTAACTCTGAAGTTGCATAATACAATTTGTAAAGCCATAAAAATGCTTGTTCAAATTGTGCTTGTCACATAATTATCATATCGTTTGTTAAAATATTTTTAGTATATAAACATCAAAGCAGTAAAAAAAAACTTAATAAAAGAGTGCAAGGGTTTTATTGGGTCCTTTAGGTCATGAAAAGTTTAAGATAAACCAACAGGTAGGGGTTGTGGCAAACAGCACACTACCCATATGCTGCCATCTTTGTCTTTATTGAATGTCAATAGATTCCACAATTTAAAACTTTATTATTGTTATCACAGAAAATTCAGCCTGATGGCTCTATCAAAACCTGAGACTCTTTCACTGGAGTGCAGTGACCTCCCTGATCAGGTTCTCTTTGTGGGAGAAGTAACCTTGGGTGAGAATGCCAGAGGCATCATGCAACAGAAGACCGAAAAGCAGAAGCAGAAACAGAGAATTTTAATGGCTGTGGTTGCCCTGCTCAACTCTGGTGGGGGTATAGTCCGTGCGGCGGTCAAGAATGACAACTACAAGTATGACAAAGAAAATTTAGGCCTGGACCTAGAAGAGGCTTTGAAACAGCTGGTTAATCCTTCTGCTGTAGAAGATTACTTTGGGTTTTTGCAAATAGGGATGAACTTTTTCATTTTTGTGAAAACATGGAGCTCCACTGGGGGTCGGGTACGTCTTTGTAGTATTGACACCGGCCTACGAATAAGATCTGGAACATCAGCTTTAAATGTTGAAAATAATGCAGTAACGGAGTTCTTAAGGAAGAAGATAAAGAGAAATTTGGCAAAAGGACAAGGTGATGAGTCTTTGGCAAACAGATGCCGCTTCTCGTCTGGAGTTAGACCTAATGGTCAGCAGCTGTTTGAAAGACAGGAAGTTCAGCTTGGAGAAGAGTTACCATTTGGGGAGAGTGTGAATGTGGAGCTGAAGAGTTTTAGTAATGAAAAAAACCTTCCTACAAGACTTAAAGAAATCATTCCAAAGTACGTAAGTGCCTTTGCCAACACTGATGGGGGCTACCTCTTCATTGGTGTTGATGACAAAACAAAAAAGGTTGTTGGATGTGGCAGAGGTCTTAACAAGGAATCCATAAAGACAGAAGTCGAAGTCATGTGCCGCAAGGTTATCTCAGTTCACTCCTCAGGCTGCACTCAGGAGAATGACTGCTCTGTGGAAGTCCGCATCCTCGATGTTCTTGGGGGAAATGCCAGTGACCCACTATATGTTGTGGCCATACACATTCCAAAGTTTTGCTGCACTGTTTTTGAAAAAGATCCGGATTCATGGCACCTGGATGGAAAAGATGCAGGTGACTGATCCAGGTACAGATCTTTGTTTTTGCTTCAGGTAAAATGGGAAAATGATTAAACACAGACCTTAACCCTAATTGTTCTCCTGTATATAGATGATAAGGAGTTATGTGCACAGTTTGAGAAAGTGCTCAGTCAGAATGCTGCTCCTCCAAAATGCAAGCCAGTCTATGGGATCAGAGATGACCACCTAAGTTCTTTGCAGCAGAAATTGTTCCCTGGTAAGTCTAAAAGACATTTGATTACTGTTTTTACTGATTGTGAAGAGGTTATAATTAAAAAAAACTGTGCTGTTGTTTTTACAGTTTATGAAGGAAAAGTAACAATAATCCCCAATGACCTTAAAAAACAGCAATGGGAAAAGTATCCAAATCTTCAAAACTTGATGCCAGAAGACAGTCAAGGAGTCCTGATTCTCTCCAACAGCTGGGCGGTTGATATTGACAGACCAAAAAACAAGGCGATCATTTGTGAAGCCCTCCTGATCTGTGAACAGGATTACCCTAAACTTTTCTTTATGGTGGAAAATGGAAGCTCTGGTCTGTGGGAATATGCCAAGGATACTGCCTTCCAGCTCAGACAGAAGCTTGTGAATCTTGGAGGCTATTCAGAATGGGTCTGTGTGATCCCACAACTGGTGAACTGTGAGACGGGGCAGTTAATACCAAGAGATCAGGGTAGTCCTGATACTGTGATAGAGCATCAGTACCCAGAGTGCTACAAGCCTGAGAACATGGGGGTAGTGCGAGCCTTACTACAGGCCCTGGTGATTGTAGTAATGAGCTTCACTTCAGCACTCAGCAATCAGTTAGGGCAGGAGATATTAAATTTGCTCACAGTTGAGCAGTTCGAAATCCTTCACTCAAAATATGACGTAGAGGACATGAGAAAACTGTTTGTTCATGGTTGTCCTGGGACAGGGAAGACTGTGCTGGCAACCCTGGCAATCAGGAAGATTAAAAATACATTTAGATGTGAAACAAGTAATATCCTTTACATCTGTGAGAAAGCACCACTAAAAGAATTTGTAGGGTAAGTTTCTAGAATTTCTTTATTCAAAACTTTGTAAATTATTGTTTTTTTCTGAAATGTAAAAAATAATTTTAAAAATGTAATTTGATTTGGTAATAACACAGCTTTTTTTCTTCAGAAAACAGAAAATTTGTTGTACTGTAATACGGACAGACTTCTTGAAAGAAGAATTTCCAGATATTAAGCACATAATTGTGGATGAAGCTCAGAATTTCCGCCTGGAAGAAGAAAATTGGTATGAAAAAGCAGAAAGGATAGTGCTACCAAAGAATGGTGTGTTTTGGGTCTTTCTGGATTACTTTCAGCAGAGTCACACAAAATTCAATGGTTTACCATCACCCTCAAGTCAAACAAATAAAATAGTTTTAGACAAATCCTTGCGGAATAGCGTGGCTGTACACAATGAGGTTTGCAAGCAACTTGACAGAATAACACAAAGCACATTTTATTTTGGGAACGATGTAAAGAATCACATGGAGAAAATGATCAGACAGAACAACTGCATGTACTTATTTCAGGGTTTTTACAAAGAGATTACTGGAAAAGAAAACTCCATTTTATCCAGACTGACGTCACTGGTAGAAAAACTGCGAAGTCAAGGAAACTCTCCAAAGGATCTTGCCATTCTCGTTTCAACTTTGGATGATGTTTCCCGATATCAGACACATTTAAAAAGCACAACTGACCTTCCCTTGGGATCCGCAGAGGAAATAGATGAAAAAGTGGTTGTTGTTGACTCAGTTTGCAGGTTCTCTGGTCTGGAGAGAAACATTGTCATTGTGATTAAACCACTGGTGTACCACTGGTATCATCATCAAATAAATGAACAGTTTTTGGTTTCGGCCATCTCCAGAGCTAGAATACAACTATATGTTATTTCTGCTGAACAAAGGCCCAACAGTTGGAGCTAAGTCCGAGAAAATGTGACCATTTTTCTTGTCCATCCTAAATTTTCACCCAGTGTACCTTTCTACTGTATTTGGTTATTGATATGTATAGTTATCTAGCATTCCAAGCTTTGGTTACACTTTACATTAATTGCACCTTCATAATGCATTCGTAGAACATTCAGTGCATCTTAATAATGCACTTTCATAATGCATTCAGCAGAAAAGGGCTGTTTTTGATTGTCCGTGCATTACTTTCAGCAGTAATAGAGTTCCAACATACTAGACGATTATATTTTAGTGTTCTATCACTAGTACCATGTAGATGGAGGAATCAGAATCTCCAATTTGCCCATAATGTGTGAGTGTTGCCACGGCCTGACATCCCATCCAGGGTGTTCACCTGCCTTGGGCCCCATGCTGCCTGAAAAAGACTCCAGGGCTCCTTCTGGCTAAGTATGTAGATGTAAATGTGGCTGCTGGTTAGTTTCAAATGGTCATTGTCACTTGGTCCGCCATAGTTTTTTTTTCCCCTTGATCACATACGGTCTTGGTATAGCGCAAATAAATATTCCTGAAATCCTCCATGTTTGTGTGTTTGATCCAAATGTACTCATATTTCTGTTGAACTTTTGATACCGGCAATGATTGCCATAGCTGGTAGCATTTACCATATGAAGCGATACGTGTGGCAATTTCTTGTAACAGTACAAATACAAACTTATTTTCCTTTTACCTTTGGGCTGTTATGACAAGAAATGACCAGATGTTGTCCAACTTTATTTAAGAAGAGCAGTAAGCAGTGTCCCCCCCCATAAAAAAAGGAAATTCATATAGGTATCATTCACCAGCACCAACTAAAGACCTGGGGTATGTTTTAACATTAAACTGTCTAACTGCAGAAATATAATCCACGTACTATGTAGACAAACCTTCCACCAAGAAACACACCAACAGGGGCAGAAGAATTTAATCAATCTGACACAAACTGATAAATGCCACTGGCATCACATACAAAATGATTCTGGACAGACTTTAGAAATGGTTCTAGCCAAAACAGCTGGGTCTTGGGGGGGGGGCAGCAGGAGTTTTGGTCCCTTAGTGATAAGCTGCACTCTTCTGGCCTCTAAGAAGATTTCAGGGGCTGTAGTTTGACCCGAGTCCCACTGTCCATACTGGTCCAGGAAGGTAATGGGAGGGGAAGACGGAGCTCAGCACTCCCAGTCCCTCTTCAGCCTGAGGAAGGAGGCCAAGGCCAAGGCCGGCACCCCAGCAAGGACCACCTCACTCTCCATTCTTCACATCCATCATCATCATCATCATCATCATCTCCTGAAAAACCAATGGAAAAAAATAAGATTATCCCATTTTATTATGCACAGAATTTCAAAAATGAACCATCTTTTATAACCAAATAACAGCAGAGATTCCCAGCATGTTTCAGTAAACTTACTGTTAATGACATGTCAAGTAGTTTTTATAAAGTATATACAGCCATTTAAACCAGTTTCACCGCAAAATATCCTATTAGTAGACTTTGACGGGGAAACACTGATTTCCCTGGTCAGTTAATTACCATTTATGACTTACCGGTTTTAATTCCAGCCAACATTTTTGTACATGAAGTCTAATTTACTACTGGGTAAGCACGTGAGTGCCTGTCGTTTTATGGGGAGGAGATTTTCATAATTTTATTGACTGAGACACGGATGAAAAATACAAGAAATATATTCATGAGTCACAATCTGTCCAGGCTATTTATTCCATTTTAACCAAGGT